AGAAGAAGGAGAATAATAAACCAATCAATATGCAAGGTGTCCATTTAGTGACCCCTTCTTCTGTCATAGTCACATAAAGAAATCGCTATCCTTGATTCAATAATACATTATTATTTAGTGTATTTGTAATAACACACAAATCAGGTCACAGCTTTGAATTAAGTAAATTCTTCTTCCATCAATATTTATTTATTTAATTGAAGAATTCGAATTGTACCGGGTGTCCCAAAATTAGTGCAACATAATTTGGACACGTTTCTTAAGACAAATTTGGGGGTCCCCTATTTTCTATTTTTGCCAAATGGCCCCTCTTTCGGAGTTACAGCCCCCTGAAATTCGTCCCTAAGAATGGTATTTTTGTCATATCTCAGAACCCTGTTGTACGAGAATCACTAAATTTGGTACACAGGGGTTTTATGACGTGGTGTCTGATAGTCTTATATGCTGTTTGGCGGGGAACCCCCTTAAGATGCTTTTTCGTGAGCCCTCTTGTATTTGAAGCCAACAAAATTTGATCGCATATTTCAATTTCTTAAAAATTATTGTTCCGCTAGAAAGGCATCAAATTTAGAAACTTTTTAGTCACTTGATATTTTTTTTGTAAAACGCAATGTTTTCGAGAAAAATGGCAAAATGTGATTTCTCAAAAACATTGCGTTTTACGAAAAAAATATCAAGAGACTAAAAAGTTTCTAAATTCGATGGTTTTCTAGCGGACTAATAATTTTTAAGAAATTCAAATATGTGATCAAATTTTTTGGCTTCAAATACAAGAGGATCGAATGCACTTAGAATTTCATACGAATCACGAATCACAAATATGCATTCGATCACATTTTGTCATTTTTCTCGAAAATATTGCGTTTTACGAAAAAAATATCAAGAAACAAAAAAGTTTCTAAATTCAATGGCTTTCTAGCGGACTAATAATAATTTTAAAGGAATTCATATATGCGACCAAATTTTTTTGACAAAGACAAGGGCGCCCACAAAAAGTGTCTTAAGGGGGTTCCCCGCCAACTCCGAAAGAGACTTGGCATAATACGGGTCCTCTAAATTTGTCTTAAGAAAATTTTGTTACATTAATTTTTTGACACTCGGTATGTAAATCATAGCTCTTGCAATAAGTAAAGTTTGTTCACTTAAATAAATCTTGACATAATATTAAATACCAAATAAATGTATTCTTGGTTTCAAAGTCAGTACTTTTTTTCTAGCCCTAGAAAATAAATCTGTTTTTTTAACATGTATTTTTCCTATATCGATTTTGTTCCTCGTGGGGCACACTGTAGTATTTTTGCGAACATTTTTTATTATTCTATGCTTTTGGCCTGACGCTGCACAACGAAAATTGATAGGCGCTGATAAAATATTTCGATATTTTCAGGGACTGACGTTCTTCCTGTCGTACGCGATCCTCGCGGCGGTCTTGGGGATGTTGCAGTTTGGCTATAACACTGGAGTAATCAACGCACCGCAAGGTAACATTCAGAACTTCATGAAGGACGTCTACAAGAACAGATACGGGGTGGACGTCAACGACGACTATGTGAAGAAACTCTATTCGATAGCAGTATCTATATTCGCTATCGGAGGTATGCTAGGGGGATTTGGTGGTGGCATGGTGGCGAACAAATTCGGCAGGTAAGCGATACACTGATTGAGAAAAATAGGTTAGGTTAGATCAGGAAGTGCCAAGTGATAGAATATGAGAAAATAAAATAGTGTTTTACTATGAACACAGCGTCAGAGGGCATGAATTTTTAGATCAATTGTAGTTTATACCTTCGAAACGCAGCTGTCAGTTGTTTTTTATATATGTATGTATTTCTCTGAAATTGCAAGAAAACCTAAAACTTTAGGCTTAATCATTTTTTCCTAAATACAAAGTAAACAGATTTACAGGAATTATCAAATAAATTGTCTATCGCTAATAAAACAATGAATAAAAAGAAAATACACAAAATGTGTTAGAAAAATTCACGAAACTAGAGCTGCCACATATGCCTTGTAATGGAAACAATAATCTTTATAAATACTCATATATTTGGAATTAATAAAAAAAATAATAAACATTGCAGTTATCAAAAAATTTCAAAATATAGCAAGTACTTTTTTAAAGACAAGCTTGTTATAGTTTTACAATTTAATTTTGGCTTGGACTATGTCAATGTTATTTAGAGAACTAACTGAAGGAGGATATCCTAGCATAATTTCACTATTTTAGCAATAACTTGAAAACGAAACAAGATAACGACCTCCGATTTGTGTATTTGTTTTCCTTAATAAATGGTCTATTAAGCCATGAAAAAAAAACTAGACTGTTGCATTTGGTTTTTTTACTAAACGGAGATAATTACAAAACTTTTCTGGTTAGCGTCGTGCGCAGGAAAATAATATTTTTAGTCCCACATCATAAAAATAATTTTTATTAATAGTTCTCTAAAATAAGCCGTCATTTCTTGGAATCGATTAAGGCATTTAGAAGTTATGACAATTTAAAAATTTCAAGATGGCATCCTTTATACTGGCGTGCTATAGTAATAACAAAAAAAAGTTCAACAGAACTTATGAAAGGTTTAACAGTGTATCTAAAAAGTATATTTTCAACTTCGAAAAAACGACAATTTTCTGTAGCACTATAGCAGTAGTACCCTCTAGCGGTGAAGTTATAAAATATTTTAAATCAATTTCTTTTGGCCGTATTTGTTAATAGATTATTTACCCCATAACCGTAGCACGTAGTTTCCTATTAGCCGCTCCGTACTGTTAATGGATCACCCTGTATATTTAAAGTTTATAGTTTAGTTGAAAACGAAGGGTAGCAAGAAAATCATTTAAAGACAAAAATTAAATACAAGTAACTCGTACAAAATTTAAAAAATATGTAGGAAGATAGGTACTTGAAGAAATTGATGTATTCACAGAGAATGCATTGAAATTCTTAGTTTCCTCAAAAATCATGCAAAGGATTGAGAATTAACCATTTGAGTTTTCAATGTAATCATCATACTTTTCTTGAGAAATATACTTGTTTATATTTCAATATTTACCTTATATTAATATGAAAACTAGAGTTTTTGTATCTCAGTATAATAAGAAATTCACTACTTATTAATTTTTTCATATTTTCGTATTTCTCTGTTTTTAGAAAAGGAGGATTGCTGCTGAACAACGTATTGGGAATAAGCGGGGCGTGTTTAATGTGGTGTACAAAAATAGCCAATTCGTACGAGATGCTATTTTTTGGCAGATTTATTATAGGGGTCAATTGTGGTAAGTATTTTTCTTTGCTATTCGGTATAATTCAATACACTTTGTTAAAGAGGTTTATCGGGTACGGAGCTACGTCTAAAGTATAACGAAAGTTTCTGTAGATTCGCTAATGACTAAAGTAGTAAGCCTTTAGATTCGCCAACGTTGCACTTGGCTGGCGCGCTCGGCTCGGCATTTGCTCGCTCCCATTCGATCATTCTGTTTTTTTGGACACCTGCGAATTTCAAATAATACGCTACGTCGAGACCGCCGAGTTGCCGCTATCACGCATATGGAGGATAAGTTAGTCAACGACAGCAGTTTGAAGGAGAATTATTATAAATTATGTATCCTTAGATATCGGTTTCCTATTTATACAAGCTGCTGTGGAAACTGTTCATAAATTGTTGCGCATGCTAAGAGGAAAGACCAAAAAAATCTGCATTCTCATAAGACTCTATACTAAATCGTGAAAAATTATTTTATTAATATCTCGTCTCTTAGGTATCCAAACTAGTCACAATTTTTTTTTAGCACATGCCTACAGCTTTTTTTGATGTTGTAAGTGAAACTTCATTCTGCCCAGAATGCCAGGAACGGACTATGCCCAATGGTTAACAACCCAGAATTTTTACATAGATGACGATCGCAAACTGCCTGCATCATAAATAAGTTTCCTGAAGAATTTGCCAACGATACCCTCTCAGTTCAACTCGGTAAAATTAACAGTTTAAGAAATATTTGTGATTTTATGCCACAGTGCACATCGAGCGGCGCCTCCACCATTTTTTGTTTTTAATTTTAATTGGACATAATTGTTAGAACCGTACATATTTTTAAAAGAAAAGCCTAAAAATCTGACTGCCTGCTAATGTAATTTTCACTAACAAAATTTGACAAACACACTTTACACATAACACAAAACAGAAAAACAAAACAAGAATAAGTTAAAGTAAGTTAAGTATTCAACTCCAAATATCGATGTCCATTCAGACGTTTCTCTAAGAACGTATAGACCTATTAAATTGTTAGCTATTAATATATGGCTAGAAATAGTGGGTAATAATTTAATAAGTCCATACTTTTTTGAGGAAAGTTCTGAATGGACATCGATATTAGGAGTTCTTGAAAAATAATTTGCAGCAACTATTAGACGATGTTCTATTAGACATCCGAAGAAATGTTTGATTAATGCACGATGAGGCTTCTCCTCATTTCAATATTGATGTACGAAACAATATTAATGTACGAAATTATTTATCCATTGTGTTTAATAATATGTAAATGAATTGGGAGAGGAAGCTCAATTTCATGGCCACCACGTTATCCAGACTTTAACCCGATGGACTTCTTCCTGTGGGGATACCTGAAAAGTTTAGTGCACTCAACACCAGAATAGACAATGCTTGAATAACTGCAAAGAATTAATTTCCACTGTGATAATACACACACCATAGAAATGCTTTTTCGTGTACAAACAAATAATATTCGTAGACGTAGGAAGTGTGTTGAAAATGTATTTGATAGTGTTCTTTGTTTTAAATTATTTTTTTAACTTTAACTTATTATTTTGTTTTTCTATTTTGTATTATGTGTAAAGTGTGTTTGTCAAATTTTGTTAGTGAGAATTACATTAGCAGATAGTAAGATTTTAGAGGCTTCTATTTTAAAAATATGTACGGTTCTAACATAGTAGTCCAATTCAAAATTAAAAACAAAAAAATGATAGAGGCGCCGCTCAATGTGCTCTGTGACATAAAGTCACAAATATTTACTAAACTGTTAATTTTACCGAGTTGAACCAAGAGAGTGTTATCGTTGACAAATTCTTCAAGGAACTTATTAATACCGGGATACCCTGTATAGATGACACTATGAAAATGCACACTATTTGACATGATAAAAGGACTCGTTCACTCATGATGAATGTATCTTTTTTATTCAACTCGTAGTTTAGATGAAACATAAAATCATTCGTCTAAGATAAAATGGTAGATGATAATCGGTGTCAATTAGACAAGTTAAAAGATAATTATATTATAAGAAGAGGCATCAAGACTCTACATATACGAAACATTGTTTTACGAAAATATAAAATAAAAACTAACAGAGACTTTATCTTATAATCACAAAATTTGGACTTTTTCTNTGCATTCACGATAAAAGGACTCGTTCACTCATGATGAATGTATCTTTTTTATTTCAACTCTTGTTTAGCTGAAACATAAAATCATTCGTCTAAGATAAAATGGTAGATGATAATCGGTGTCAACTAGACAAGATAAAAGATAATTATATTATTAGAAAAGTCATCCAGACACTTCACATACTGACCATTAATGTACTTTAATGCTATGCAAAAACCATTTAATAAATTTTCTAAGAACGGGAATACTAAAGAAACTGGTTTCTTTTTGTTTTAATGAAACATTAATTACGAAAATATAAATAGAAATCAAGAGAGACTTTATCTTTTAATTGGCTTTACAAAATTTGCTGAAATTTTGGACTTATCTAATTCTTGTTACAAATTGTATGCTGCTTAATATAATAAACAATATTTACTTAAATAAAATAATAATATGCCAATCTATACGACAAATCTGATTGGCATTCCTTCAGTACCTGTTCATATACAGGCTGTTACAAATTGTCTTCTCACTACAGGGATCTCGAAAACGGTAAGAGGTACGAAGTAGCTTAATGGGGGCAAAGTTGCGTAATCTGGGGACCAACATTATACTAATAATAATAGTTTAAATAACTAGATGGATTTCACAGGGTCTAACGACACTTACAGTGTACGATAATTGAATAAACAAAGAAATCTAAATAAAAAATTTAGATAAATTTGGAACGAATACACTGAAGATGAATTTTTCGAGACAAAACGTCTGAATCTGGTTCGGGCTGAGGCAGTACAGTAGTGAGGGTCATGAAGACTTGCAGAAAATGTAATAAAATTTC